GAGCAAGAGCGAGACCCGTCTCACTATAAAAAAAGAAGATTGAAGTGGCCAACTGAAGGTATAATAAAAAATTAGCCGGGCATGGGTGGCCGCATGCTGTAAGTCCCAGCTACCCGGGAGGCTGAGGCAGAGGCACACTCGAGCCAGGAGTTTGAGGTTGCTGTGATAGCGACCCAACGGCACTCACTCTAGCCTGGCAACAAAGGAGAACTTGTCTCAAAATAAAATAAAAAAAAAAATAAAAAATAAAAATAACATAATATTGAAAACTAGAAACTAAATGTTGACTAAGTATGATGGGATATTATAAGCTAATAAAACAATGTTTTGGTTATCGTAAGTGGCTTACTGCACCTGCAATCCTAGCACTCTGGAGCGAGCAGAAGGATTGCTTGAGGCCAGGAATTACATACCAGTGGAACATGCCTGTAGGCCCACTTACTCAGGCTGAAGGCAGGAGGATCATGAGCCCAGAGTTGTGAGGTTGCATGACCTTAATGATCACTGCATTCTAGCCTAAATGAGTGACAGAGCAAGATCCTGTTTTTTTTTTTTTTTTTTTTTTTTACCTAAGCAAGCAGCAAGAGCAAGACCATTTCAAAAAAAAAAAAAAAACATGACCAACAATGATAAAAGAATTATCCAATGAGCAGTGGATTATTCAAGGTATAGTGATTTTAACATTAAAAATCAATAAATAAAGCCGCGGTGCTCACGCCTGGAATTCCTAGCACTCTGGGAGCCGAGGCGGGCGGATTGCCGAGGTCAGGAGTTCGAACCAGCTGAGCAAGAGCGAGAACCGTCCTACTATAAATGAAGAAATAATGCCAACTAATTAATATATAAATTACGCCGGGCATGGGGCGCATGCCTGTAGTCCCAGCTACTCGGGAGGCTGAGGCAGCAGGATTGCTTAGCCCAGGATTTGAGGTTGCTGTGAGCTGGCTGACCGCCATGGCACTCACTGTAGCCTGGGCAACAAGCGAGACTCTGTCTCAAAAAAAAAAAAAAAAAAATCAATAAATAAATCCATCACATTAACAGCTAATGAAAGAAACATCATCAGATCATAGTTTTTCTACTAGATGTAGGAAAACACATTTAATCAACCACTCATTAATGATAAAACCCTCAGCAAACTAGAATATAGAGGAACTTCCTAAACTGTGATAAATACATGTATAGAATTATGCTAATATCATACTTACTGTCCAGAAACTAGATGTGTTGTTCCCTAAGATTCAGGAATACAGAACAAGGATCAGAACAAGGATGTCCCCTTTCACCCGAAGTCTGGCTATGCAATAGGACAAGTATGAAATAAAGATATACAAACTGGAAAGGAAGAAATAAAACTGTCTTTGCAGATTACATAATTGTCTATGAAGAAAATCTCAAGAATGGAATTTTTGGGCCGGGCGCTGTGTCACGCCTGTAATCCTAGCTCTTGGGAGCGAGGCGGGCGGATTGCTAAGGTCAGAGTTCAAAACCAGCCTGAGCAAGAGCGAACCGTCTCTACTATAAATAAAAGAAATTAATTGGCACTGATATATATATAAAAATTAGCCGGGCATGGTGGGCATGCCGTAGTCCAGCACCGGGAGGCTGAGGCAGAAGGATCACTCGAGCCCAGGAGTTTGAGGTTGCTGTGAGCTAGGACGCCACGGCACTCACTCTAGCCTGGCAACAAGCGAGACTCGTCTCAAAAAAAAAAAAAAAGAATGGATTTTAAAACCTCCTGAGCTCCTAAGTGATTATAACAGCTGAAGATACAAGGTTAATATACAAAACAATTGTTTTCCTACATATAGCAATGAACAATTGGAATTTGAAATTAAAAATACAACACCATTTACATACAAGAAAATCTTTAGGTATAAATCATAAACATATACAAGATTTATATGAGGGAAACTGCCGACTTGATTAAAGTCTTTAAAATTTCAAAGAATACTAAAAAATGAAGACTAGTCCATATACACAGTTAGAAAAATTCACTGTTGTCAAGTTGTCTCACCTATATACAACTTCTTCTTTGATATCCAACATGGATGTCCAATGGACAATTCAACATGGTCAAAACAGAAATCTTGATTTCCCCACTATTTCCTTTTACTATTATGGCACAAGCAAACGACTATGTAACATTCATTATTTTTTGGTGGCATTGAGATTCTCTCAGCATGGGAGATAGACGATATAATTGTGATCAAAGAGGTTAGGAGAAACCTGCAGTCCTGAATTGAATTGGAAGCATCAATATGGACCTCATGATGTATTTTATCTTAAGAAGTGTTCTGAGGCCAGGCACATGGCTCACACCTGTAATCCTGGCACTCTGGGAGGCAAGGTGGGAGGATTGCTTGAGGTCTGGAGTGCCAGGCCAGTCTTAACAAGGGTTGAGACCTTGTCTGTACTAAATTAGAAAAATTAGCTGGTGCAGGTGGTGCATGCCTGTAGTCCCAGATACTCAGGGCTGAGGCAGGAGATGCTTGAGCTCAGGAGTTTGAGGTGCAGTAAGGGAGCTACGATGATGGCTCTACACTCAACCTGGAGTGATAGAGTGAGACTTTATCTCAAACAAAACAACAAACAAAATGACCAAAAGTGTTTCTGTCCACTAAAAGATGCTGGAAAAAATTACCAATTCAATAGCAGTGAGGAAAATCTCTTGCTAAAAGGAAGCAGAGCATTTAAAGCAGACTCTAGATCTGGACATAAAATGTACAAAATGACTCTAGTTGACCTTGTCATCCAATAGTGAGGACGCTATCAAAAGATCCCTCAGATTCTGTCAAAAGAACTCAGAAGCCAACTTAGAGAGATTCCATGGACAAAGATAAGACAATTTAACATCAAAAGCATAATAACTTCAATTATTGAAAATATCAAATACATGTAAATCTTAGAGTTTATAACTATACTTAAATGTTTTTCAGTTGGTTGCCATTGGAGGATGCTATTGATTCATTAGTCATTATTTTGAACACTTGTGGACAAAGGGAAAGAATCCACATTTATCTACTCCCACATTTCTAATCCCAACAGCTATACAAGCTGTTGGGAAACCAGTAACTGATTATGGGAAGTATCTATTAATAAAATTATTCTAGTAGGTAAAAATGTTTAATCAGTAAAAAAATAATGACTATCTTGTAACATCTAATGAATTCATTGATCTTAACATTAATCAATACTCACATCAGAATAAAATAGTAAGACTCCCAGCTCTACAAAAAGTTTTAAAAAAATTAGTGGGAGGTGGTAGCACATACCTGTAGTCCTAGCATCTGCAGAGTCTGAGATGAAAGGATCACTTGAGCCCAGGAGTTCCCAGTTGCAGTGAGCCATGATTTTTTTTTTTTTTTTTTGAGACAGAGTCTCACTCTGATGCCCGGGCTAGAGTGCCATGGTGTCAGCCTACCTCACAGCAATCTCAAACTCCTGGGCTTGAGTGATCCTACTGCCTAAGCCTCCTAAGTAGCAGGGACTACAGGTATACACCAACATGCCAGGCTAATTTTCTTATATATATATAATAGAGAGAGAGACTATTAGTTGTACAGCTAATTTCTTTCTATTTTTTTTAGTAAAAACAGGGTCTCGCTCTAACTCAGGCTGGTCTCGCACTCCTGAGCTCAAATGATCTGCCTACCTGGGCCTCTCAGATTGCTAGGATTACAGGCATGAGCCACCATGCCTAGCCATCATCCTTATCTTTTAAAGACACATAGAGAAGTATTTATAGATGAAATGATACCTGGGATTTAAATTAAACAGGAGAGGGAAAGAAGCCATGGGTGTAGATGAAACAATACCGGCCAGGATTGATGCCACTGTCTAGGTAATGAGTACAGGCCAGTTCACTGCTCTCTGCTGTCTACTATTATGTATGTTTGAATTTTCCACAGTAAAGATTTTTTTACTTAAAAAATTTAAGATTAAAACATGTCAGTTACATGCTTCATTTTTCCCTTCTGGGAACGTCTTGGACCATAAGCATGAGGGCCATGATAGAAGTATAGCAAAGGGAAAGAATCCCATTCATTTCCTTAAAAAAACCCAAAATGGGAAAGTAAGAAATCCAATGATCAATAAATCACTGATAGGAAAGCACACCAAATACACATCATGGGAGTAGCAGAAAGAGAGGAGAGAAAGGAAGAGAAAAAATAATTGAAGAAATAATGGCTGAAAACATCCTAAATTTATTTAGAAAACAACAACCTATATTTACAAGAAGCTCAGTAAACTTCAAGTAGCATAAACAAAAAGGGACCAACAAATAGATACATCATAGTAAAAATGCTGAAAGTAAAAGACAAGGAGAAAATAGTTAGTATATCATATTAATTTTTTTATATTCTGCAATCATTTCAAAATAAAATTCAGATCATACTTTTAAAGACTAAATTTCCTTTATGTTTTAATTCAGAAACAGAAGTGCTAATAAGTATATTTTGCTACAGAACTTGATAGAGATATATAAAGATAATAACATAAAGTTGTGGAGATCAAGTAGCACCTTAGAAAAGCTTTGTCATAAAATGAAAGCTGAAAACCAGGATACAAGTTGGTATCTAAATAAAAATATCTGAGTGCACTGACACAGATAAAGCACAGGGTGAAAACAAAAAGTGCAGTTGATGGACAAGGCTGGACACTGGAATTGTGGGAGGTATTTCTTTCTTGTTTAACTTACCCATACACCTGCTGTAATGTGGGACACACAAAGCTCAGAGAAGAAAACAAAAATAATTTGCTCAAATGAGTGACACAATTAGGGCTTTCCGGAGCTTTCAATGAACTCTCCCCCTCTGGCCCCAACATCAGTCTCATGTTCCCGTTAGACGTGCTCATCTCAAGGCGTCTGCCACGAGGAACAGTCAACAGCCCTGACACTCAGGAGTCGGCCTGGCACTCACAGCTAGGTCTTGGTGCCTTCTGGATGAACACGGAGAATCTCACAGAACATCAGTAGCAGATAAGTCCACTCTGGGTCTGTGACGGAACAAAATCAAACAAGACGACTCTGTAGTCATATCTCAACAGGGAACGTGAACACTGTCCTAGGAACAAAATTGACCAAACATCCCCCAGCGCTGGCTGATATGAGGATTGCTGCTTCTTTGCCAGTAATAAAATACATTACAATGTCCAATCAGAATACCCCTATTCTGCAACAACATTTGATACAGAGGAGGGACGGTTCCTAATTCCTCAACAGCCATAACACAAGCCCAGCTCCTTTTTATCATGCTGCGGAGACCCTTCCCTGTTCCCTGTTATAGTGAGTAACAAATCCAATTTGTGGCGCTACAGGGATGTTCCTGGTGGGGTTTGGCCAGAGGGCATTGACAATTGGGATAGTCAAGTCTTTTCATTAAAGGGTCTCTCTTTCCATCTTTAACCTAAAGGGTCTCTATCAAGAGTTTTATTCTCCCAAGGTACATAGTAGATGTTTCTCTTACAAAAGACAAATGGTAAGTTTCACACAGTAGAAAAAACAAACAGGTTTTTCTTGGAAACTTAGTTGCCTCTATAATGTTCTTAGGCCATATCATTACTGAGTGAAAAAAAATTTCATGGCAATCACTTTTCCAAGAGCCCCTTTTATGTCCTTGTTCCTGAGGCTATAGATGACAGGGTTTAGCATGGGGGTCACCACTGTATACATCACGGCGGCTGCTATATCTTTCTCAGCTGAGTGAGAGGATGAGGGGTTGAAATAGAGAGATATGATGGTGCCATAGAAGAGGAACACGACAGCCAGGTGGGAGCCACAGGTGGAGAAGGCTTTCCATCTTCCCTTTGTAGATGGGACTCTCAGGACAGCACAAGCAATAAGGACATATGACACCAGGATGCAAATAAATGGGGCGATCATTATAGGCCCTGCTGCGATAAGAATCATCATCTCATTGAGGTGCGTGTCTGAGCAGGAGAGTTTCAGGAGACGAGACACCTCACAGAAGAAGTGGGGGATGGTGTTGTCTGCACAGAATGAGAGTTGAGCCATCAGCAGGGTGTGCAACAGAGCATTCAGGCTGGCCACTAACCATGACCCAGTGACCAGTAGGGCACAGAGCTGATGGGTCATCTTTGTCATGTAATGTAAGGGGTAGCACACTGCCACAAAGCGGTCATAGGCCATCACAACCAGGAGGAAATTGTCCATGTTGGCAAACACAATGAGAAAATATAACTGTGTGAGGCAGCCAGAGAAGGAGATGGTCTGGATCCCGAGCACGTGATTGGCCAGCATCTTGGGGGTGGTGGTGGAGGAGAAGCAGACGTCCACGAAGGACAGGTTGCCGAGGAAGAAGTACATGGGGGTGTGCAGGCGGGAGTCGGTGCTGACCGCCAGGATGAGCAGCAGGTTTCCCAGGACTGTGGCCAGGTACATGCTCAGGAAGAGCACGAAGAGGAGCTGCTGCTGCTGGGGCTGCCTGGAGAGTCCCAGGAGGAAGAACTCGGAGACACTCGACTGGTTTGTGCCTCTCATCAGCCTGAGCCCAGATGTAGAGAAGAGAGCCAGACGTCAGAAATGTAGAAGCTGAGTGTTTGCATGTAACAAGTCAAGCTCCGGCCACGGTCATGTTAACGAACCTGTTCGGTAACGATCCACCACTAGTTCCTACATCCCCAATTTCCAACTCCCACTTCTAGGTGATGGTGTCCCACTGGACTTATTCTTCTACTTTTATAAAAATAACATAACAACAAATTACAGGCACATACACAGCCCGTCTTTGCTATAGTAAAAGGGTCCCTTTTAATATTCCTAGGCTTTCTCCCCCTCCCCAGGAGCTTACAGAGACAAGTGAAGCAGCTATTGCCATGTCTCTCTCAGGCTCCAGCGGGTGGACTCAGAACTCCTACTACTGCTCCCTGTATGTGGAAGATTTAGCAAAGGGAGTTTTGAAAGAACTTCACTCATTAGTAAAGAAATGTTGACATCTCCTCTGTTATAATGTTACCTGAGAGAAGTTGATGCTGTCACTATCAAGTGTTCTTCCCCTTAGAGCAACTGATCAATGCTCCTCTTTATTCTATGGAGTTGAAAGAATTGGAAATACAGGCAAGAATTGGAAATACAGTCTTGAACAAGTGAAGAGCAAACGTTCATTGCCTTAGCCTTCCGTGCAGGAAGGATGTTTGGGGCAATCACAGACAGGTTTTTACAGGAGCCTCCATAGCCCCTGGGACTAGACTCCCTTAGAGTCTCATTAGGGACAAGAAGAAAGTAATTGTCACACTTATTTCCTGGTCCCTCCAGACCCAACAATGATGACAAAGATATTCTTTAAGTCCTGGGTCCGAACTTGGAGATGAAGCAATGTGGGTGGAGACTAGTCCCAGAGAACATTCCCTGAGACCTCAAATTGTGTCACCTTGCCAATGTGAGTTTTTGCTTATAGGTTTGAAAAGTCAGTTATGAAAACATCTTTCTTCTGTCTTTCTTAGCTCAGAAACTGAGGTTATAGCTGGGCACAGTGGCACATGGCCATATTCCAGCTTACTTGGAAGGGGAGGTTGGGAGAAATGCTTGAGCCCAGGAGTTTGAATTTAGTTTGGGAAACACAGCAAGATCCTGAGTGAGAGTGAGAGAGTGAGAGTGAGTGAGAGAGCGAGAGCGAGCGAGAGAGAGAGAGAGAGAGAGAAGAGGAACTGGGGCTATTGCAGTGTTATCTGAATGAACTCCTCCTTTTTCTAGGCCTTATTGGTGTTGGTACAAAGCATTTCTGAAAGAAGGGGATTATGAGTACCAATTCATCCAGATCAAAATTGTAAAAACAAGAAACCCATACAAACTTGAAAGGGCTCGGAAAAACTGTTCCTTTAATTAACTTGTATTGCAACCAACAATAACCAAAAAACCAGGGACACCCACGGCACTCACTCTAGCCTATGCAAAAGCGAGACCTGTCCTCAAAAAAAAAAAAAAACAAAAAACGGACAAAACTGCTGCCAACACCTTAATTCACTATTCTTGAAAGTCTAGCCAACACTAACAGGAACACCAGGGCCAATGCTAGACAGGGATTCCTGAACGACATTGTCTGGTTGCTACCTGTTTATCATATGTCACCGACCCTCCTGCGCACCCCAGAAAGAAAGACACAGCGCCACTGGCAGGATTGAGAGAGTGGGGTCCCCAGGCGAAGAGCCCTGTCCCCTGCCCAAGGGTTGGGGTTTTGATAGTCTTGTGTGGCTGTGGCAGTCTCCAAGGTCATTTTTTAAAAGTGTGGTGGGGTGACGCTACCAGACCCAAGGCTACCCCAACGAAGAGCACCCCGGTCATGGTGCAGCCAGTCCAGCACCTCCGTCCTCAGATGCAGGGCCCAAGCGCTGATTT